TACGACTTACGGTCTAGGAGTTATGAGCAGTTTCGCGCAATTGGTCGCTATAGCGCCACCTATGGGCCAATCGGGGTCATAATTTGATAACCTCTCCTCGATTTTTGTACTACCATCTGACAAAGTTTCAGAGCTCCAGCACTTATGGTTTGGGCTGCACGATGCGTTTTAGGGGAGAATAATAATAATAATAATAATAATAATAATAATAATAAAAATCAGTACAAAAACAATAGGGTTTCAGCACTTCGTGCTTGAACCCCTAATAATAAAAATCAGTACAAAAACAATAGGGTTTCAGCACTTCGTGCTTGAACCCCTAATTACAGCAGTTTTTTATTTCAGTGCTGTCGTTTCAGTCGTAGCTTGTGCCGCGGTGACAGAATAACTTTTAGCAGCGCTTCCTCTGTTGTCTGAGTTTGAGCCTCATAAAAGGAAGCTGTCATGACAACACCAAAGGCACCAACCCCATCTTCCCATCCGGAGAGAGAGAGCGTCTGCTGGAGACGGGCCACCTCTCAACACGTCAGTCCTTCAGCGGAACCCGTCAGCCCAGAGGCTAGAGTACAGAGGCTGGGGCCGGGGTTTACTATACGCACTGTCGACTACACCGCTAATGAACCCACGGGACAGCCGAGATCTCTGAAATATAAAATAATGAGAATTAAGGAAATATTAATCAAACTCTGGTGTCCTCGGACCGCTTGTGTTTTAGGTAGCTGGTGAGGATGTTGTGCAGCTCTTCTGGCTTAGCCTGTGGAGATACTGTTTTACAGAGAACACGCGAGTAGCAAGACTGCTAGCTGGAGGGCATGGGATCACACATGCACACACAACGACATAAGCAATGCATGCAAACTCTTAGTTCCCATTAGTTCCCCAGTCTAGTCCATAATTAAATACCCAACACTGCACAAGTAGTCAGGCAGGCCATGGGCATCAATACAGACGACAAGAGGGGACGAAATCTGTATTACACAGACAGCCATACTAGTGTCTGAACAGCTGAGCTCTCTTAAAGGGGTCCTACTATGCTTTTTTCAACTTTATTTAGGTTGTAAGGTTGATTTTTGAGCATTAAAAATGATCTGCAATGCAACAAGGCTCAAAGTTCACTCCAAAGGGAGATATTTTCATTTAAGAGAATATACTTTTTGGACAACAACGCGTTTCTTTTTAATGAAGTTTTTATGAAGTCGCAATGTTACTATGTTTTTTAAATAATCCTGCCCAAGTAATACAAAAAAGGTGCAAGGCCTGGTTGAGCTGCTGCTATGTCAAAGAGAGCTGTTTTTTCCCCCACCGCTTATCCAAAACTCATTTGTTTGACCTCCTTGATGGCTCCTGCCTGTATCTACGAAGTGGACTGTCTTTATAAAGTAACTTCTTATTAAACTGCCTGTACACTTACAAAGTTCTCAGTGCTTGGCATGTAGGGACCCTCATTATGTTACTGTGTGGCTATTTTGAGCCTTGTTAGTGGTATTAACTAGTGATTTTTATTTTCATTACCATTTTGCGCCTTCTTCCGCCATTTTGCGCGTTGCACATTTAAAACGAGTCGAGCGGTTTTCCTTCCGATATTAAAATTGTTTGGCTTGAGCATACATTGAATTATTATTAATATTTGCACAAATTAGTTTCTCCGGGTGGCCGCACTGTCTCAGGCCGTTGGAAAAAAATAACAAGAAACAATAAACAGGTAACTTAATGGAAACAACAAGCCCAAGATGACGAGCTCTTGTATGAGGGAAATTAAACCGGTGTTCTGACGGAAAAACGGCCGTTAAATATATAAACAAGTAGCCTACAAAACATGTTGGTCATACTTTCTGGGGAGAAATAGGACAGACTTATGAAACTTTTTAGTGTTCATCATGTATCAAGTTTGCGTCACAGTTTTCAGGCCGTGTCCAATGACAACAAAACATATTAACGGTATGATGTGGTTGAAATGGTAAAAGTCTGTAGAGTGCTCGTGATACGTTTTAAATCGCTGTTTGTGAACGGTAGATAAGGGAAAACAATAGGCATACACGATAATGTTTTCCCTTCGAGACCCACAGACAAATCCCCTTCTGCGAACATTATTAGATTAATGTAAATTAACGTTAATCATATTTGAAAAGCGTCAATAATTTTATGTTCCCATACCGACGTGTTTTTGCGAGGTCTCCAAGTGTTGTTGGTGCCGAGGTCTCCCTTTGACATTCATGGGCTCCAGGTCTCATCTGAATGATTGAATGCCGGCGTTTGCTGTGCTAAATTGCGTCGTTTCAATCCGGGAGAGAGTCAGAGTCCCTCCGGATTCTGGCTCCCGGTGGACCAGCCGTCGAGAAGAACAGCATGTTGTACATCCACATAAAACGGAAAAAATATGAGAGGTACTCTCCTCTTTATGACACAGAGATTAATCTGTCACTGGAGCTGGAAGTAAATCTCAGGCCTGCTTTGCAAAATACTGTTTTAACCCCCTTTACTCTGTATTTTATCTTTTATTGGCAATAAACATAAAACAGCACAAAGGGGTAATGTCCTCATCAATATTATCACAAAATGATAATAAATTTGAAGGCTTATAAACTTTAGAAGGAATTTTTTCCCTCTAGTGATCCGAATGTAACGTTAGATCCCCTGACAAAAGTATTCAGATTTTTTTTGGTAAATATTTTTTATAGCCTATATTTTCGCTAATTGTTAAAAAAAGGAAAATGTTTTTTTTTTCTCCACGCAACATAATTTACACTAATATCTTGAACTTCTATTTATTGAATATAACACCTGGAACCACTTATTTAGCCTTTATTTAAAAAAAAATATTTCTCTTTTAAGCCTATGTATTTGAATGCATTATATGGCATAAAAAGGTCATAATACTAAAAGTTTATGCTTTTATATAGGCTACTTAAACTCACATAGGCCTATTATTCCTCACACAACAGTTAGAATGGCACTAATTTTTAAAAGAAAATAAAAACTAAAAATAATTATACATTTTAATAGTAATTAAAAAATTTAAAGTTATTTAAGCATCTAATCTATTAATACATTTTGAAATCAAAAGTTGGATTAAGATTATTTAATGGACATGAGCTGACAAAGATGAATAAATACTGTAACAAATGAATTGCTTATTATCAGGTTATTTTAGTTTGCATTAGGGACCTCATTGTAAAGATTATTATCAACACATTTTTAATAAACAATGCAGCATTTTAGTGAATAATATTTTCCTTAATGCAATAGCAAAAATTGCATTCTTTTCCTTGCGCAGGAAACACCATCCATGTGAAAACAACATCATTAAAGCTGTCCAGCTCAAGATCTCCAAGTGGATAGAGGTGAGAGATATAAGGCCCTTTATTCATTTGAATTCCTATCTTCCTCCAAACGTTTCTCTCTCTCTCATTAGGTTTCTCTATAAAGGAACGAGGCCTGCTGGGGCTAGAATTGCATTGTCAACTCTTCAGCGGATCTCACCCTCAGAGACCACAAACTAAACAGGGGAAGGATCTAGTGGAGGAACCTCTTTCTGGTATGCTAATCAAGTTAGCTTGAGGTTAAATTAACATTTTTAATTAAAAAATTAGCACCAAACAAACACAGCAAAACACACTAATGATTAAAACATCTAAATAAAGCCTCCTCACCAAAGAATGAACAGGAGAAGGCAGCGTGAAAACAGTTTTATTGCTCCCATAAAGCACGTCTAGAGAGGAAATTCACATCTAAATGACATTGAGTCGTTGGCCGATTATGTAGTGAAATGAATGGACTGGCTGAGGCGTGTCAATATGTTGTGGGTGATTATCATGGAAATGATTGGGTGTTAAAATACAACGGCCGGATTCCCTCAAGTATCCAGTCAGGGAAAGTGTTTTGTAATTAAACCCTTTATGCGGTGATATGTAATTCATGTACGTAAAGCATATTTAAATTTGATCACAGGCAGAATCTCAAACAGTAGGAAAATACTCTCTCATTTCTAAGTTACTACTTTTTCATTTCTTTTTAAACTAAAGGGATAAAATATGTTAATTTTACTGGAGATCAAATATTAAGTATTTGTTATTGAATAAAAAAAAAATAATTAAAAAGGCAGTTGCAAACATCAAAGTAATCCCACAGCAAGCTGTAGATGTTTTCTGGCTGTCAGCCACACACACACACACACACACACACACACACACACACACACACCCTGTGGCTCTATCGCTCTCTAGTGGAAATACATAATAAATGCATCCCACTACTTATTTGGGTATGTAAGGCAAACTTTTTAGAGCCAAACATGCCCAAAATATGGTGATTGGTTACCTTGCTAAGGACCTCTTTCCTAAAACACTAAGGCATCAATATTCTATTAGATATTTATATTTCTATTCTATTATAAGATTAGATTATATTAAGATTATTTGTTGTGTTTGAAATAAAAAGTATAATGTGAAGACAATGAATTCTTTAAATGTTTACTGTACTAATGGCAAAAAAAACCAAACAAACAACAACAACAAAAAAAACATGTCAATTAATGAATTATTTAAAATTTTATAATAAGAATATGAATTAAAATAATTAATAAATATCATTTATTTGTATGGTGTTTTCATAATCAATAGTGGTCAAAAGCATCTTTATATATATATATATATATATATATATATATATGAAGAGTTCAGATGCAAAAGCCTCTAAATGCCATTTGAAATTTTCTTCTAAAATGACCATTTTTATCAAGCTTGTATATTTAAGTTCAGTAATTTCACTTAAATGAAAATTAATAGGTAATCTTCATTGCCATTTAAGTGAAATTACTGAACTTAAATATACAAGCTTGATAAAAATGATCATTTTAGAAGAAAATTTCAAATGGCACTTAGAGGCTTTTGCATCTGAACTCTTCATATATACACACACACTTTCTAATATAAAATTTGCAACTGATCCCTACTCCTTGGAAAGTTCACTTTGAAATTAATTTTTGATATGTTTTAGCTTACCTCAAGGGCATCCAAGATGTAGGTGTCTTTGTTTCCACAGCATTTTCAATTTTGACATTTTTTGGTCAAACCGTTGTTGTCTGTCAGTCCTGTATAATGCAGTTTTAGGTCGTTCACCTCGAAGAGCATGGACAGAGAAGTCAAAATTAAACATGATTTAATGACTCGTGAATGTAAGTACACACTGATGGCCTAAGACACGAAACTTTATAGTTTTACCCATAGACTGTAAAAAAAGGGTTTACCTCTTGTTAACAGCCGTCGAACCGTCGGAACTGATCTGAATCAGATGTCCAACTGAACCGTCTCATCCAGACGTTACGCCGGAAGTGATCTCTGGCGCGGAGATTTCGGAAGTTTTACCTTTCACTAAACATATTAGATATTTCGAAATCGTCTTCCATTGCGATTTCACGTATATCTAAATATGTTTAATGAAAAGTAAAACTTCCGAGTTTGTCAGTGCGTTATGTGGTGTTAGGAATTTTTCTCCGCATTTCCTCACTAGGATTTGAGCGTGCCGTACGCCAACGTGGTTTTGGGTGTACGCAAGGTGAACGCTGGAAATTTGGTGTACGCACTTTTGATAAATGAGGGCCAGTGAATTCTTTAAATGTTTACTGTACTAATGACAAAAACAAACAAACAAAAAAACATTTCAATTAATAAATCATTTAAAATGTTATAATAAAAATATGAATTAAAATAATTAATAAATATCATTTGTTTGTATGGTGTTTTCATAATATTTAAAATAGTGGTCAAAAGCATCTTTAAATATATATATATATATAGACTTTTTAATCTAAAATTTGCAACTGATCCCTACTCCTTGGAAACAACCAATAAATAAGTGTATATAAATAAATTAAAAAGTTTGAAAACTTAAGGTCCTTTAAAATGTATTAAATTGTGTGTGTGTATGTATGTGTGTTTTTGTATGTGTATATATAGACAACATTTTAAATGATAAACTAATATTAATTAATGTTCATGTTTAAATGTGGTGTAAGAGTCCAAATAATTATTTGAGGCATCATTGTATCTTAATCTCATTTAAATAAAAATAAAAAAGTTTCAACATACAACTCTTACTTTAGAAGACCAAATGAAGCAGACATGAATGGTTTTGTTTTATTTCTCTATATAGAAAAAAAAAAGGATAACAGTAGAAACATCTGCTCAGAAAAGTACAAGTGTATTCCTTGTGCAAGAACCTAAACGCACCAATATCAGTTCACTTTATTGGCGATTCACTTTACTGTGGCTAAATGGCACCTTTAGATCTTGTATATACTCTTAAAAACAAAGGTTCTCGATTGGCATCGATGGTTCCTTTAAGAATATTTATTATCACTGGAACCTTTCCATTGTTCTTTATAGTGGAAAAAGGTTCTTTAGATAATTGAAATGTTCTTCACAATAAGCAAAATAATGGTTTAAGAACAGTTCTGTGAAAGGTTCTTTGGGCATCCAAAAATGGTTCTATGATATCTGGGCAATAAAATGTTTTTGGAACCTTTATTTTTAAAATTGTATTTAATGTTACAATCCTTCTTAATGGAAAACACATGCTTATTTCCAGTCTAAGCGAGTGCATGTTTACTGGATGCCTGTCTCTAAAGCTGCAGCAGGGTAGGGACTATATTCTGGAGATCTGTCTGGACCTGCGCAGAGCTCAAGTCCTTCACGTAGCCCTTCTCAAACTCTGTTGGGATGGTCGACTTAATCGTCTCCACCGCACAAGCTCATCAGGGCCCTCTGGAAGTCTCCCTTTGTGTGCTCCTGAGAACATTAAACACATACAAAGCAATGCATATTTAGAGGCTCAACAATATCTGATTGCTTGTTTCAGTCACAGATTTAAAACAATTTAATTGCGACTTTTTCCTCTCTCTCAATTATGAGAATTTCTAGATATAAACTCGCAATTGCGAGAAAAAAAAGTCAGAATTGTCGGGTATAAATTTCGCAATTGCGAGAAAAAAAGTCAGAATTGTGGGATATGAACTTGCAATTGCGAGAAAAAAAGTCAGAATTGTGGGATTTATATTTCACAATTGCAAGAAAAAAAGTAAGAATTGTGGCATATGAAATCGTAATTGCAAGAATAAAAGTCAGAATTGTGAGATATAAACTCGTAATTGCGAGAAAAAAAAAGTCCGAATTGTGGGATATGAACTCGTAATTGCAAGAAAAAAGTCAGAATTGTGACGAACTCGTAACTTATAAAGTAAAGTTGAAATTGTGAGAGTCGGAATTGTGAGATATAAACTCGTGATTGCGAGGAAAAAAAGTAAAAATCGTGGGATAAAAATTCGTAGTTGCGAGAAAAGAAAGTCAGAATTGCAACAAACTCGTATCTTGCGACTTATAAAGTCAGAATTTCAAAATATAAATTTGGAATTGTGAGAAAGTCAGAACTGAGATATAAACTCGTGATTTTGAGAAAAAAAAGTCAGAATTGTGAGATATAAACTCGCAATTGTGAGAATTTCTTTTAAATTGTGCGATATAAACTTGCAAAAAGTCAGAATTGTGGGATATAAAGAGTTTGTATCTCACAATTCAGGGTTAATTTTTTAGAATTGCGACTTTACTTCTCTGAATTGTGAGATATAAAGATGCAATTAATAGTTATCAGTTTTCCACCTTGGTGTACAGTAGTTAAAAAAAACAATATTACAGGAACGTACAGCAATGGTCTGGTACAGAGACTTCCCGTGGTGGGCCTTGAACTCTTGTCTGATCTTCTTGAGGTCCACCTCGCATCGGGACACAATGATCCGGGTCAGCACCTTTTCATTCGCTCCTTTGCTCTATAATAGACACAAATACGCAAGATTAAACAAGTAGCCTGATGCAATTCAACTGCAAGACATCTGAAACATCCGCAGACACATTACAGATGAACTTTTTAATACTTTCTTCTAAGCCCAGGGAAGAATAAAAAGTGTTGGTAGATGAAACGTATTTTACCTTCATGGCGTCTTGCAGTTTGTTGGCGAAATACAGCTGTTTGTTTTCAAAGCATTGAACTGAGGAAGAGAAGATGTGGAGATTAGATTCAGCTGCCGGGTTAATAGTCACTTTCTGACTCATAAAAACCGTGTGGATTTGACTTGAACTTAAAGCCATTTCTAAAGACTTTTCTAACTTTTGTAAGTCTGCAAGATTTAAGTGCATCTACACTGCTGTTCAAAAGTCTGGGACCAGTAAGGAAATTAATACTTTTATTCAGCAAGGGCGCATTAAATTGATCAAAAGAGATAGTGAATACATTTATAAAGCTACAAAAAATAAATAAATAAATAAATAAAATAAATGCCATTCTTCATCAAAAATCAGTGTTTCCTTAAAAATTTTAAGCAGCACAACTATTTTTAACATTGATAATAATAAGAAATGCTTCTTGAGCATCAAATTTCTGAAGGATCATGCGACACCGAAGACTGGAGCAAATTCAGCTTTGCATCACAGGAATAAATTACATTTTAAAATATATTGAAACAGAAAACACTTATTTTAGATTGTAATAATATTTTACAATATTTTTGTATTTTTGATAAAACATGCAGCCTTAGTGACTTCTTTCAAACACATTAAAAATGCACCGACCCCAAACTTTTGAATGCTAATGTATATGCTAAAGTACAGTTAAAGCTCGACAAATTTAACATACAGATTAGACGCATTTAAATTCACTTTCTCCTCCTGCAAAATGGATAAAAAATATTGATAATTAAGAATGAAAATGTCCATCCTCCAAAACTATTTTACCACCTCCATTTGACTAGCATTAGCAAGTAGCTAATCATGCTTTTGCTGTGTTTGTTTGGTTCCACCAATGCTCATATTTTAATTCCTTCTCTAACCTTAACTTATTGAAGCAAGTGGCTGAAATGCATTTATTTTTTAAAGTGTTTTCATTGCTTTTAGTCTATGGTTTGGCTAAAGACTAGATAACAAAAACAGATGACCACTTTGCTCTATTCCGCCCTAACTACCTGTTCCAACAGGATATACATCAGCTCTGAGAGGAAAACTGAGCTTCATGGAGTCTTCAAAGCAAAGTCTCACCCAAGGTAAGGAAGGACTTCTCCAGATCTCCTTTCACCTCTTTGCGAATGCTCTCCTGCATGTCATAAGGGCTGTAGCTCTTGTATCTGTCAAACACTGTAAACAGAAACAAAGATTCACATTAATTATATGGGTGCTACTATATTATGAGATGCGAACGGGTGTTGAAAAAGTTCTCTAACCTTTCTGGAGGTGAGGAACGCTTCTCTCAGACATGATGGAGATCCAGCACTTCACATCAGTGCCTTTCCGTTTCACTCCAGCCTCATACAGGGCCTGCACAGATTATGATTATAAATATATATTAAGTTAATTTTTAAAAATAAATTAAAATAAATAAATAAATTCTTAATAAATTATAAATAAATAAATTCTTAAAATAAATGCAAATAATCTATATAAAATATATTTATAAATATATATATATATATAAGTGTAATATTTACTTGCAATAAATGTAAATAAATTCTATAAAAATATTTTATTTATATAAATGTATAATTATGTAGATGTATTTAAAGGTTAAATATTTAACTGAATTAAATGTAATTAAATAGTATTTAAAAAAAAAAAATGTATGCACAGTTTAATATTTAACTGAATTTAAATATTTAGGTCTAGAGGTTTTGATTAAATACCATTGCTCTAATGAATGCGTGTTTTCCGAATATTGAATCCATATATTTAGTTATTTTGTGTTTCAATTAAATGCGGAGAGAAAAAGCACTTACTCTGGCATCTTCATCGATTTTCTGGTAGTCAACGACGGACCCGGGCTCATCTCTCTTGGTCTGATGTGGGATGGGGTCATGTGACATTACAAATATGTTAAATAAATCCTCAGAATCTTAATTCAGGTTCCACGTACTATTTAAAGAACACGAGAAAAGTTTACCCCACCTGAACCAGAGCCAATAGAAGTTTAGCAAAGTCTCCTGAAGTATCTCCAGCCACATCTTTCT